GTAAGCCACTTTTACAGAATAAATAAATAACCGACATTAAATTAACACAAGTTTCAATAGTACAAAGAAAACAATATTTTGGTACAATCAAAATCATATAAAGCATGAGCATGTCAATGTTTAGTTTTGGTAAATTTGAATTTGCATGACAGGGCACTGTATTAATTTGTGTGTCAGAAAGTGGGTATGAAAATGTATACATTCTTCCTCCTTAATGTCTCACATAAACTCGTCCCCCAAATACTGTGAAACTATTCGATCAAATTTACATGAAAGTTCTATATAAAGTAGTGGGGTGTGTGCGTGTGTAGATTGTGTGGAAAGTAAGTAAGTTCAAATGTGGTTTTTTGGATAAATAGTCCAAGTTGGATGAACATTCAGACCTTCTTTATTATTGAGCGCAAAAAGATTTAGCATAATATGAAATGCTTCGGCTGCTCACCTCTCTTTATGGTTGGAAAAGCCTTTCCAAATTATTTTGATATTTTTAATATCAACCTAATATGTAGACACAATTTTGTGTGGAAGTAAACGGGATCGTATCTTTTATTCTAACTAAAGCGTTTCTTAGAGTGCTAATTGACTTATAGAAAGCTTCAATTTTGTACGTCATCAATATCCGTAGTAATTCTTCTGTCGTACCTTGTACTATAAAAACTTGTTTTAATTTAATTCGGTGATTTATTTACTCTGAAAAAGTGGTTTACATTAAGTCATGAAATGTCAAAAATATAACTTTTCTACTCATTGAGATATAACAAAAAAATATTTTTATAATCAGAGAGGGTTTTTGTGGATATTTTAGTAATTTTATACTTGAATTCATGAGTCAATTGAAACTAGACAACCATGAAAAGCCTGAAAGCACTGGGCGGCCGTTGTGTCCTAGTATGGGACTCCTCAGCAGTGCGCATACATACTAGGACAAAACAGCCGTCCAGTGCTTCCATGGTCGTCTAGTTTCAATTGACTCATGGATTGAATTATTAAATTAAAAATATATTTATTATAAAAACTATGTGTTTTTGTGTAACTATATTGAAAATAATAACTTTGTTATATGTATCCCAAAACATTATCTAAGACAGTTACTTTGACTATGCACTCTCAATGTGCTATTCGGATTCAGCAGTGATTTCTATAGACGAGCTTATGTAGGTGCAATGGGTTCACCACTGGACTCCTTCTTGGCTGATTGTTTCATGACCAATCTGGAAAATACGTCACTTCGACCAATAATTGAAAGACTTCATTTATACAAGAGACATATGGATGATACTTTCGTTATTTGTGAAGAGGAAATAAACCTCAATGAAATATTGGATCGATCCAATAGTTGTCATCACTCAACTCAATTCACGTTGGAAGAAGAGGCAAGCGAGGAGTTTCATTTCCTCGATGTTCAGTTGAAAATAAAGTCAGATGGTTCTTTACAAAGATCTATATATAAAAACCCGGCCTTGAATGGTCAGTATACGAATTTCCATATATGAGTCCTATTGAATGGAACGAGAAACATAGTTCGTTCTTTATCTTTAAGGACTAGGCAAATATGTTCTAATGACGCAGTAAACGACGAACTACTACAACTTCGACAGATACTCATCAGAAATGGTTATCCGCTTAGATTTGTCGGCAAAATCTTGACACCAAGACAACATTCTGAAAACACACAGACAATTCATAAGAAGACTCTTTTGTGAGATACAGCTGCCGAACTCTTGAAAGAACGAACTTACGAATCCCTTATTAAAACCTATTCAGCTAGGGTTAATATTGTGTTCTCGGCCCAGTCAATCATACACGGATGTGTCAAAGATAAGCTTCCGCTTTGGGCCACATAGATGTGTATCAATTAATTTGCTTGCTTCTCTGAGTTAGATTACATTGCCCGCACGAAGTAATCACTTCCTAAACGCGTTTCAAAACATTATTGTTACGATTTTTAATCAGGAGAATGAAAAATAGCCATCAGTTCAATACAGTAGCACTTAAAAGCCTGTTAACACATCGTTCCAAAGGAGTCTTCCTTCAAAATAATCTACTCAATCGAAAGAGCTAGGTTGAAGAGAGGTCGAATAAAAAATTATGCACTGCTGAGGTGTCGGTGATCCCCCAGTTCCCTGATCGTCTTATGTAGCATGCTTCGATCGTGTTTCTCTTTATTATTGTTTTGTAATTTTAGACTGTAATCAGTTATTATTATCCTTTAACAATTTTTCGTGATTGTTATTCGGTCATTATTATAACTTTTAAGTTTTTCATTTCTCTTTATATCTGTCAGGTGGACAGTTATCTTCCATAATTCTGACTTGTAATCTATTTTCTTACCTTTGTTCTTCTTTAACCCATTGACTATTATGCGACGTCATTTGATATTTGAAATGTTGGGTCACTTTATGATGCAATTTTTTATATCTTTCTATAGACATATATTTACCATATGACTATAAATACGAATGTACAGTTTAAGTGGACGATTTCGCCGAAACGAAAATTCTCTTCACTGGATTCGCTTTTTCTCTGTACTCAAATGTATTTTCAAATCAATATTTGTGTGAGAAACCAAACCAATCAACTGAACTCAATATCTGCTCAAATAGAATATAGCGTGACATTATGCTAACAAACTATTGGACTAATCAAAAATTAAGAATATTTGAGCGAACAATTGTTTTCATTAACTTCACGATCAGCCTCTACAGTTATAAGTCCATAATTATTGTGAGATTTTGCAAGGCCAAAATAAGTCATGCATTAATTAATTTGAGAATGTTATATGTTAAAAATGATGAACGTTTGCATCTGTTACGACACATATACTTCAAAAATTGTGTTATTTGCAAATTAGAAAGGTCACTTAGTAAAGGTCGGAATGATTTGTAGTAGTGTCCAGTCCCAATCAGTATAATAGAAATATAGCAAAAATGAGAATTTAATAGTTGAGTTCATGAGTCGACTGAAACCAGACCACCATGGAAAATCTGGAAACACTAGACGGCTGTTTCGTCATATTATGGGACTCCTCAGCAGCGCGCATGCACTATCCTGCCAGCGGGACTCAGGACGGGGACCTTCGGGATGCGCACATCCGAAAAGTTCCATACTAGGATGAAACAGCCATCCAGTGCCTCCAGGTTTTCCATGGTGGACTGGCTTCAACTGACTCATGAACTCAACTATTAAATTACTAAGATCTCCACCAAAACCGCTTCTGATAAAAATGAAAATGCAAAACAATCGCGTGAATAAAATGTATAGTAGGAGGATTTAATCTTGTCAATTGAGATAATAATGATGATAGCAACTATATTATTATTATTATTATTATCATTATTATTATTATTATATTGTTGTGTGAAAATAATGTGTGGTAAGAGGGGTGTTATCACGGTAATTACAATATACAAATAAGGAATTCATGTCAATTGAGTATGATAGATGCGAGGATTAAGATAGATGTAATCAAAAATAATGGGAATGGGTTAAGAATTTCGTGCACTGACTTGACATTTTACTACACATCATTCTGACCTTTACTAAGTGACCTTTCTAATTTGCAAATAACACAATTTTTGAAGTATATGTGTCGTAACAGATGCAAACGTTCATCATTTTTAACATATAACATTCTCAAATTAATTAATGCATGACTTATTTTGGCCTTGCAAAATCTCACAATAATTATGGACTTATAACTGTAGAGGCTGATCGTGAAGTTAATGAAAACAATTGTTCGCTCAAATATTCTTACTTTTTTTACATTCTATGGGGATTTTTAAACTATTGGACTAACGTTCATCTTTGTTTTGGCCAAAATCTAACCGCAATTGGTCCGACTCGGCTGTCACGGAAAAAGATTACTAACTGTTCCTTTTAAAATATAAATCAGTTCCTGTGCCCTTGATACATATAGTTTTAGGAAATTTTAGAATAATACAGCTACTATGCTTATCAGTCGCCCTGAAACATCTAAATTACATTGTTATAAACCTTGATTTCTTTAAAAAGTAAACATTTTGTGACGTAACTAGGAAACTTAATCAAGACATTCCTTTTTGTCTTGAGTATATAATATCTGTTGTAGATATACACCAAGTGAAGTAGATAATTGGGTTTAAACTGAGAAGAGTACGAGTCAACATTTGGCTAAGTATAAGATGTTGAGTTTGTATGCAACGAGCGCTCTGGGTTCCTAATGTTTATTTTCTTGTTTATTGTTCATGAAAATCATAACTTCGGAAGATGAAGGAAATCACGATCGGTTTTCTTCTGACTGTTATATATTAGTTTCTGGTCTGAAGTTTTCCTGTGTTTTTGGAGTATTACAACATAGAGTCATTTTCAAAGTAATGGAAGCTGGGTATATGCATAACTATCGACTGTATCATTCCCAATCACCAGTAAGTATTATGAAATATTACGTCAACTTCCAATACAAATAAGATTGTAAGAAGCTGAATAAAATTCACGATATTTATGGTATAGCTATCTTTAGACCATCGATCAAATTGCAATTAGGCAACCAGTCTTAGTAACTGGACGTTGAGCTGTACTGTGTTTGATTTTAAATGTTTAAAGATAATCTGAAGTGTTTTCAACCAACAGTTTGATTTTATTGATCTGCGTGTGTTTTCTAATGTCGACTTCCAGAATGTGACAGGACAAACCTCTGAGAAAACCAAAACAGTTGTTTCATCTGAATTAATTTAAGTATTTTAGTAATATCCTTCTAACAATTAAATTAAAATACGGATGTGTCAATACCAACATATAGAAACGAGGAATACTTGGAGGTTTCCCGTCTGCGATTAAACGAAGGAAACGTAATTGAACGTGTTCTAGATTTTATCCATAGTACGAGAGAAACAGGTTATGAATATCGATAAATTGCTAATAATTAATTGGTCTATTAAGGCAATATTACTATTGGTTGATAGTTTCTGTTATTATACATATTTTGGTTACCATACTTTAATTTCCTTCCCGTTTAATTATTGATTCAACAGATGATTGGTCATTTAATTTCAATATATTTATTGGAATGAAGCCACACTTTCATGTCTGACCTTGTATCCTTCTTCAGTTTCACGTTGGTGGATCTACCATACTTCAGCAATGAGTCAAACATGTGAATGGAAAAATGAGGTCATAAAGAAGCAGGCCCAAAAAGAACGAGAGAAAGACGTGGAAAAACGATGGGCAGACGTGATGTCTAAGAACGGTGAGGGAGCTCCTGAATGGTTAAAAGAAGCTGCTATGAAGAAAAAGCAGAAACAAAGTTTGAAACAGAAAGATGAGAATTTAGCTCCATGGCTAAAAGAAGTTCAAAAGAAGAATGCCGGCTTAGCAAGAAGGATATCCGATGCCACAAATTGTGAAATTGAAAGTAATCTGGGCTGAAATACGGATTTGGTGCGTTTTTTTCTTTATTACGATAGTTTGATATGTTTTTGAACGAACGGTAAATTAAATTGTTCAATATCATGTGGATTCCACACAAAGATTAACTATACTACAAACATACATATACATTTATTATCATGATTCTTTTCCTTGTATATTATTATTTGCGCTTTATTTAATAACCTGATTTGTGGAAATCCAGAATATTTTCCTAACATATGACTTTCATTTCTTGAGTTTATCATACACTGAACATGTAAGCCCAAATCTTCATAAATATCCAATTGAATTTTTCAGTTCTTACCAATTTATCTTCACAGTTAAAATTACGAGTCAATCTAAGCTAAAACAACATTGGAAATCTAGAAGCACTGGACGACCGTCTCGTCTTATTATGGGACTTGAAACCAGGTCATTCGACCTATCGTGCGGATACTCAAATTCTAGACAACGACTAACGTCGAACGGTGTTAGTGTCTAACTTCAGTAAATCATAATCTCGCGCAACCCTTCGATTCGCTGTGGTGGTCATGGCTTCTCACCAGAACTCTACAGCTTACATCTAGAAGCCGGTTACTAGTAAGGGGGAGATTGCTTTCAGTATAGGGCATTTGTGGAGATTGTAGTATTTCCACACTTGGATTCCACATGTGAGATTTTGGACACGCACTGTTCTTTACTAAGACGAGACGGCCATCTAGTGATTCCAGGTTTTCACTAATGGTCTAGCTTAGATCGACTCGTGATTTCAACTGTTAAATTACTAAAATCTCCACAAACTGCTCATACTGATAACTTACCAATTTATATCTGCACATAAAATAGTATTGACTAAGGTTTTCCCTCGGTCATTGTTTCAACCCTGTCCATACATTTTTTGGTGTCAATAGCATGTATATTTACCTACCTCCGAATATTTAATTGATATCCAGACTAATTCCTGAGCATGATCGTAAAATCTTTTGATGACTAATGCAGGTTTTAAGTGCAGTTTATATATGTCTAAAGGCACTTGATATAAGTTAGCGTGATAATTAGATGTATTTGAATTATAGTACGTACTAGGAACCCCTGAAATAACTTAATTTAAATGAAGCGGAACTAGGTGAGCATATACGAGCGTATTGTATTTGAAATTCGAAATCAGTCATAAATCAAGTGTAAAGGAATCATTAATTCACACATACATCAGTTATTCTCTGTAGATTATATCAAGAAATATAATCTAGAAACAAAGTCGACGTACAATATTTCAGAATATTTCACTGAAATGACTTTATCGTAATCGTGTTTCCAATGATATGTGTATATTGGTATACTTAAAAGGAATAATTTAACAATAAATAGTTTGTTGCACTACCTATGGCGTGAAGTTCCCTAAAGTGTTTTATTGCCAAGTCTTGAGCTCTACATTACTGGCCAATTGGTGTAAGAAGTTCAATAATTTCAAGCTGTTTTGCTTGTCGTTGAGACACATCCTGTAAGGGATGCTACTCGGCTACATAAACAAGTAAAAAAAGTAGAGTTATAACCATAAACATTAGTTGAAAGTCGTTTGGAGCGAATGGTACTGGGTTCGAGTCCCAGAGTGAACATTAACTCTGAGATGCAGGTACATCCAGCTGACGAGTTCCAAATAGGATTCCACTGCTATCCACTATATATATTTGTTTATAAAGCTTGTGACTTCAAGCAGTATCAAGGGAGTCCGCACAGGATGCACATTTGCTAACAAGAGACTGATCAATTGCAGTCTTAAATAACAATAGGAAGATGCAAGTGAATAGCTCTATACCCAGATTACACATCTTTTGCAAATTTAGCCTTAGAATGTTCTTTTATCTTCGTTCTCATGTTTTTTCATCTTCATTTACTTATGTTGACTGGATAACAAAAGATTCATTTCAGGTGTATTTTCTAGCGTAATCACATTTTTAAATTCAAACCAATTACTTATATTTTAAATATATGTGATTTTGACTGCCCTGTAGGACCACATGTGTTTTATGTAACGCGGATTTTAGGTAACAAACGTAGTAAGGTTTGTCTTACTTTATTCAAGCTATTCACATAATACTACTGAGCTGTATTGTATATGACATCAGTTAAACCAACACAATACAGTTCTTGAGAAGATACTTAGTTTATGTAGATGCTTAATTAGCATTACTTTCACTTAACTACATGGTTAAATCGAGAAACTTAAATTAATGTCCTGACCAAGATCATCAGTGTTTACTTCCTGCATGTGAGTTTCTGGATATTATTCCATAATTGCCTAATTAGCTCTTTCTGACTACTTTTATCCTGATTGGGTGTCTTCCTGGGTTTTGTTATATTAATTGACCTGACTATTTTGTAAGTGACAATTTTGTCCAGAAAGTTTCATTAAAATTCTTTTTTCTCGCTTGTACATCTGACTATTAAATTGTGAATGTATTGTACTACATAAATCTATTAACGCTACTAAACTTAACCCCTACTGTTTTGTGTACTGAGAATAATTGGTCCTTGTTTTGCAATTCTAATGCATCTTTGGTAAGATTTGCTCGTATTAAAGTAAACAGGTCCGTGATATCGATTATTCACAAGTTACACTCCATTTTATTATATCTGGGGTTCAAATATGTAATTGATTCAAACAAACTTCGGGAAAACTGTTGTAATCTATTAATAAATAAAAGGATGGATAGTGGCACCACTCGTCAAAAGTTCCGAACAATAATTCGTTTTATATTTATCTGTTTATAAAATATGCGCAGCGATTTGATATTTAAATTTAATGTCAATAAGTATATGTGGCTGTCTTTACTTGTAATAGTAGTTGTTTAATTCGATTTACATCCAAATCACATAGATCGTGTGATAATACACATGACTGTTATTATTAAGGTCACATCCATACAGTTCAGTAGTCAGCATATCGATGTATATTAAGTTGATACATTAGAATTTACTAGCATGCATCGAAATGCAAGTCAATTCTGATAAGAATATGGATCTGGTATTTTATGTTATGATTCATTCATGCTGATTAACTGGACAGTTAATAGCTTGATAGTCCTATAATCTGAATTAAGTTTCGACTACATTTATGCTGTCTCAACATACACTTACTGCAATTTCACATAGTTTATATAAGTGTCACTTTTTTAGATACAAAACGATCCCGTTTTCTGGTCAGTTGCTTAGTCTTTTGACATCTGTTCATTGGGTAGCGGTTTGTGTCTGTAATCCAGTTTTCCTGATTAATTGTCACCCGGACACTACTCATGTCAATTCGGGAGACTGAGCTTAATCCAGTCCGATGTAACAGTGATATGATCTTATCAGTTCTGTCCTTCCGATTTCCATTCTTAAATAACCCCAGATGACATTCAAACAATCGCGTATTCTCATACACAACATTTCAGACTACCACTGGCTAATGATTGATGTCGATCTGAAGTCATTTAGTAGGAACTATCGACCTTAAGATCTGATTAACGGTCACTATATCTTAGACTGAATTTTCTGGTTACATCGTGATGCTTATGGTGGAGTGTCGTTCTCTGAACTGGGTAGTTTAATCGAGTAGCTTTCATTGTTGGGAAGAACAGCTAAGCCGTCCAGCCACAAATCTTCACTTTGTAATTAACTGATATTGGTGATTTTCTGATAATACGAATGATTTTTCTATTCTCAATTGTGTCTTTTTTTCTTCCATAACATTTATTTAACCATCACTTAAATAAGCAATTTCTACCTAACGCTTTATAATTTCGATTTGTTATCTTAAAGTAATATTTTCATTTTACAGCAGTTAATCATTGTTTTTGTTATTTTAATGAGGAAACAGTTGTAATGCAATATGTAACATGTAACATTACAGTCCGAACAATCACACTCGTAATTATCAAGCTAATATGTTGATATTTGACAATAATTCAGTATGTCTGTGTTTTGTCTGCCTACGCATTATGGCCTTTATTCTTCTCTAGCTCTACTAAGTACTTTAAAGATTTGTAATCATTTAGTGACCTCTCATAGTTTTGGATCAGACGTGATAAAAAGTTTTATCACTAAGGCGGCTGTCTAAAACAGATATATGCTGATTACCAGGCGAAAATTCATTTGACCTAAAGATGTTCGGTGTTATTATAACCTACAATTACACAGCACTTTACTCTTTGTTAAACTCCATCCCAACTAACATAGAAGATGGGGTGGGATGGTACTTGATAGTGAGTAATCAGGTAAAAAAAAAGATATCATTATTATTGATCACGTTGACGGAAGACTAATGGTAGGTAGAATATATTCAAATAGCAGGTATGAAATATTTAGACATATAATCTATGTAAAAATAGAATAATTCGATAAATATTCATTATATTCCCTTCATTATTAATTCACTTATTTGAGATATGTGGAGTATGTGACGATGATCGAGATCCGTGAAATCCGGTTAGTCTTCGTATTTTAATAAAACATCAGAAATGAATATAACAGAACTGATGTACTTCAAAAGTTACCCATAAGGTAACCATCAAACTTGATCACCAATTCTTCGAAGAATAAATATGATTTCCAAGTTAATGCAGTTTTACATAGTAAAAGGAGCAGGAGTAACTGAAATGAACAATGGAAATAATATATTTTATTCTTTACTGAACTCGGATTAGAATTCAGAGATTTCGACTTAAAGTGTGTCCTATTTTCTTAACTTGTTATATGAGATGGTGGAGAAGATTTGTAGCTCAGGTGGATGATTTTGGTGGAGTTTTGTTCTCTGAGCTGGATGGTTTGGTCGTGGAGCTTTCATCGTTCTTCTGAACGACATCATCAGCACAAACTTCAGATAGAAGTGAAGTGTTTGAATTTCTCCATATGTGTCTCAAAGCTTGTTCCGTGCACCTCGACGTTGAGACACATATGGAGAAATTCAAACACTTCACTTCTATCTGAAGTTTGTGCTGATGATGTCGTTCAGAAGAACGATGAAAGCTCCACGACCAAACCATCCAGCTCAGAGAACAAAACTCCACCTATATAACTTGTTATATTCTCAACAAAATACTAATAATAATTCCTTTTCTGAATAAATAGTTTTAAATCCATGTAAATAGTGATTTCAAAGTCACTAAATTTTTTAGCTTGTAAGTACAAACAGTGCATAAGCACTTAAGCGAGTCGTATTATGTAAATATGAATCTCTAACCTTTTTTCTAGTTATAAACCAAAATATTTAATAACTAGATTAAATTATAATACATCAATGAACAATAAAGTCAGTTAATATGATGAATGTTTCATCTGCTCACTAGTGATTGGCTTCAAGAGATACTTCTGGAGTTCTAGTGAGAAGTCGTCACCAGTGGAGTTCAACCAGGTCTGTTGTGAGATATCAACTCACTGAAAACAATGGTGTACGGTAGCGCAACTTCGTGGATTGGTTGAAGTTAGACATTAACACCGTTGGATGTCGGCTCAGTGGTCTAGTTTGTTAAGCGCCTGGCGCGAGAATGTTCGTAAGTTAGTGGCTTATTACGTAATATAGACATACAAAGACAAACTGCCCAATATGTATCATTAGTCTCTGTGATCTACGCATATACTGTAATAAAATTGATTTAGATAAGGAATATTTCATTAACTAGTCAACTTGTATTCAAACACTACTGTTATAACGGAAAAGTATTTTATGGATTGCTTGGTACGTACGATCGATCGTGTAAATTGGTTATGATGATTGCTCACAAATCCCAATCATTAATATAGTTTCAGTGAACAAATAACAGAAAGCAGACTAGTTTGATCAGCAGAATATGAGTCGTTTTATGTAAAAAAAACTTATATACAGAATATTTAACTTCAAATAAATATTATTAGAGTTCATGTAAATTCTAAATGAATACTGGATCAGAATTTGGTAAACTATTCACGAGCCAACAGATCTGAAGCCTTACAATCAAGATCACTTATTAATCGTCAAATAATATGTGAAGCTGATATTTATCATAACCAGAATGGTCATTCACATCAAATAATCCAATAGCTCCCCTTAAATAAATGTCAAGTTTATAGATCTGACAATTTCGAACTCAGCATCCATTTATTGTTTATGTAGGCTAAGGTAGTGTATTTACAGTTGCGATGCAGAGTCCTATGAATTATAGTCCAATGTCCATATATTGTACTGATGAAGAGGAATGGTGAACAATTATATGGTACTGAGTACCATGGTAAACAACCTTATGTAAAAGTCCACGTTACTTTTTGTGTTGATGAGTTCTGTTTACCACTGCTATCGTCCGGCCACTACTCCAACAACAAAAACTTTGTATACCGTCCCAATGAAAGCTCGAGTAGAAAATCATGAAATGACTAAATACCCCTATTTCCAATCCTCTGATTGTGTTCCTTAACGCTTTGGAACGCGAGTTTATTTATTTATTTGAACACATAATTATTGGTACAAAGGGGCACCGAATACAAATGCGCCACACAAGTCACTTGGTTTATGTTGGCTGAGATACTGTCTGAGTGCCCAAACTAAAGCCGTTTGTTTTTTTAGAAAGCCACAACCGGGTCCGTCAACCTAAAGGTCTGGTCCACAAGGCAGTGGAGCAACGTCAGGAGATGCATTCCCATGCTAGCCGGTGACCAACAATAGGTTCATACACCATTCGAGGCAGCAGATGCACTATCGAGGTTAAATATCAATACCTTCTCGATCCCTGATATTGACTATCAAGAAATGGCAAAGCATCGAAAGCTCGATACGGAGCTACAAAAACTTTTGCAGTCTAAGGAAACGAAATTATTATTCCAAAACATCCCCATAAACAACAAGGACACCTTAACTTGTGATACCTCAAAAGGTAAAACTCACCCCTTTGTACTTTACGGTATGAGACGAAATATGTTTTAGAAATTATGCAACATATCTCATCCAGGTCTAAAAGCCACTGTAAAGCTTATCACAGATAGATTTGTATGGCCAAACAAAAACAAAGACGTACGAAAGTGGTCACGGGAATGCGTCCAATACCATATTCATATCGACATTGTTGGACCGTTACCAATTTCTAATGGTTACACGCATATATTAACATGTATAGATAGATTTACGAGATGACCCATAGCTGTTCCGTTAAAAGACACGTCGGCATCAACAGTGGTGAAGAAGCTGGTGAAACACTGGATTACAAATTTCGATGTCCCTACAACAATTACGACCGACCGTGGAACGCAATTCGAAAGCAAATTATTTCAGCAACTTACAGATACTTTCGGTATAAAGAGAATTAGAACCACTGCTTATCATCCGTCTGCTAATGGAATGATAGAAAGGTTCCACAGACAGTTAAAAGCCTCTTTGATGGCTGCACGAAGGGATTACGAATGGGATATCAAGCTTCCTTTTATGCTATTAGGCATTCGCTCAACCATCAAACAAGACCTCGGTTGTTGTGCTGCTGAGTTAGTTTATGGAACAACGTTACGTTTGCCTGGTGAATTTTTTGACCGTGCAACAGATATTCCAGCAGATGGAATCCACTAGGTCCGTTGAACCACGAACCCAAAAGGTAAGGTCATTCGTACCCAAATGA